GGGCCTGGATATGTGATGACTTGAGCAGGAGAACCTTCCGTGTAATGCATGATTTGAAACCATGACGGCGTAGTGTTCTACCGACAGTGACCTTTGAAACTGTGGTCCCAGCTCTCTTAATGTCATTGACCAGCTCCTCCCTTGTAGTTCTGGGCTGATTCCTCACCTTTCTTATCATCAGTGATACCCCATGAGATGAGATCTTGCATGGAGCCCCAGTCTGAGGGAGACTGACAGTCATCTTTAACCTCTTCCATTTTCTAACAATTGCTCCAACAGTTGATCTATTTTCAGCAAGCTACTTGACAATTGCCCCGTAGCCCTTTCCAGCCTTGTGGAGGTCCACAATCTTGTCTCTGGTGTCTTTTGACAGCTCTTTGGTCTTACCCATGGTAGAAGTGGTCTTGCCCATGGTATAAGTTGGCATCTGACTGACTGTGGGGTGGACAGGTGTCTTTAAAGAGCTCAGACAGGTGCTACTAAGTTAGATTAATGAGTGGAGTAGAGGTGGACTTTTTAAAGGCACAGTAACAGGTCTTTGAGAGACAGAATTCTTGCTGTTTCTTAGGTGTTCAAATACTTATGTTCAGCAGTGCAAGACAAATAAATTCTTTAAAAAATCATACAATGTGATTTCCTGAATTGTTTTTTTTAAATTCCTGCTCTCAGAGTGGGAATGCACCTACAATGTGAATTTCAGACCCCTCCATGATTTCTAAGTGGGAAATCGCAGGGTGTTCAAATACTTCTGTTCCTCACTGTATCTAAATCATATTTTGTCCTTAGCAAGGTTTTAGAGCAAACTGCACCCTGTTTACACCAACTTACTCTTTATTGTACTCTATTAAGGGCAAAATTTCCTTTAGATAGATACTGTAGCAGTTGTGCAAATAGGTGTTTTTGTTTCTATTGAAACAAGAGAATTCTGGAGAATTGTTTCATTTGAAAGCTCCCCATAGTAACTGACTGGTCAGTTGATTGATGGTAACTTGTAAGTTGTGGAGAACTTTAACTAAGATTTGGGAAATCGGCCATGGAACATTTATAACCTGAATGGATGGGAATAAAGACATTGCTAAAAAAACAACACCAAATCAGGTTCGGTTTGGAGTTTGAGACATTGAAACATATGGAAAGACATTCTCCAGCATGATGAGACCAAAACTGAAATGAAAATGTTAGGTGCGTCAGAAAGTCAATAATCACCTTGGGAACAGCATTCCCACAATTAAGCAGGGTGTTTGTGTTATTGTGTTGTAGGGATACTGTTCATCAGCAGTGCCTGGGACATTGGTCAGGATTGAGGATAAGATGGATGCCACCAAATACAGGACAATTCTTGGAGAAAACCTGTTTCAGTCCGGCAGAGAGTTTAATTATACAGACAGAGGTTACTCTTTCAAACCATGAACCATTATGGCTTCTACTGGCCAAGTCTAAACCTAGAAGCTGTGGTGAGACCTAAAAATTGTGGTTCATCAATGCTCCTCATCTACGCTGACAAAGATACATGGATGGCAACCAAATATAGGACAGTCCTTGGAGAAAACCTGTTTCAGTCCGGCAGAGACTTTAATTATACAGACAAAGGTTACTCTTTCAAACCATGAATCATTATGGCTTCTACTGGCCAAGTCTAAACCTAGAAGCTGTGGTGAGACCTAAAAATTGTGGTTCATCAATGCTCCTCATCCACCCTGACAAAGATACAGCACCTTAGCCATAAGGATGGCCAACAACTGCAGGATCAAAGATTTGGAAAGCTGTTAGAAACTTGCTCCGAAGGCCTCCCAGCTGTAACTACAGCCAACGGTTGTGTCAGCTAGTATATTACCATTAGGATATTAATGTAACTAATAAGTATGTGCTGTACTTTTTCCACTGTTGAGTTACGATACAAGCAATATTGCACCTTCAAATTAAGTATATGGTATAGAGTTACGATACAAGCAATATTGCACCTTCAAATTAAGTATATGGTATAGGTAGCAATATTGCACCTTCAAAAAGTAGATGTTCACCCAGTAGATGTTCACCCAAAACCTTATTAACTCTAAACTTACTCATAGCCACACTATCTAGCCCTTTAAAGAAGCATTCGCTATGCATGCCTGTTCTGCAGTTACTCCGGTCTGGTCCCAAGCTGAACTGTGAGCAGCGGCTTCAGTGTGCAGGAGAGGCAGTCGACAACAGAAGCTCCATGGTAAGTCTATGGGTGACGTCACTTTCCAGGCATTTCACAGTCGTGTGTTCTCTACTGCACACAGCATCCGCCACTGGAGACTGGACTGGATCAGCTTCAGAAAAGATATGTATAGCGTTTTCTTCTTTACAGGACTAGATAGATTTGTTTTAGACTGTGGCTGTGAGTAGGTTTAGAGTTTGTTATGTTTTGAGTGAACTTCTATGTTAATAAAAATCCAATTAAATTAATTTGAATCCAAGTCAGTTATAATAACAAACAGAAAAGTCTACAGGGGTGAATACTCGGGCACAGCATTGTATATCAACTGCTACAACTACTTTAAAGACTTCTAATCTACTAATGCCTGTAATAACAACAAACAATATTAGTGTGTACTTGTGTTCAGTCACAGTCGTGCCTGGAATGAGACCAATAGGAGTGAATGTAACTTTACTCCTGGCATCACAAGTAAGGAATGATGAAGTAACTGATCTACTTACAGGATTAGGAGATAGGTCATAGTAAAATATATAAACTAAATAGCATGGTGACAACTGGTGTGCTCTGTCATGGGTATTACTCTGTACATGACTATTTTAATCAGACTGTTTTAAAAGAACAGGCTATGAGGTCATCTTATTGTCAGCATGAAAAATTATCAGCATGAAATGAGAATGATATCAGTTTTAATATAAATGGTACGTGATGATGTCTGTTAAAGAAACTGAAGAATGGCTGCCTGTGGTTGGATGTAAAAAGATGAGATAACCCAGTCATACGTAAAAAATGAAGCTGAAGACTACAAGAGCCCATTGTGATTTTCTGAATCCAGAATACATTTTTTCATATATCGAATCTATGTCAAGGAAAACTGGACAACAGGGCTGAATTTGCAGAGCCCTAACAATTACCTGTTGGCTTCCATTGGCCTTCTGTTGTCAGAGCCCCCTACTTGACACAAGGGAGCCACAGCTTCAAGATCAAATGATCGTATTTACGCAGATCTTTTACAAATGGTTTACAGTAACGGTAGGAGGAAGGGTTGGGTAATGTTCCTAAACAAACTAATATTAACCTATACTTCCACTTTAGGTGAGTGGGATATGTCATACTGAAGAATAATTATACACAGGCATTATCTAGGACATCAGCTGTACTGTAACTGTATAAATTATGTGTTTTAGTTTCAGAATATATTACTCATGCAAAAATAATTTTACAATTTGGTAAAAATGTCATTGTGTAGTATGCAGTTGTGCTCAAACGTTTGCACACCCTGGTAGAAATTGTGAAATGTTGGCATTTATTTTGAAAAATATGACTGATCATGCAAAAAAAAATGTATTTTGGAATAGTGATCATATGAAGCCATATATTATCACATAGTTGTTTGGCTCTTTTTTAAATCATAATGATAAAAGAATCACCCAAATGGCCATGAGCAAATCTTTACATACCCTGGAAGGTTTGGTTTTGGTACAGTCACACAAGGTGACACACACGGGTTAAAATGGCAATTAAAGGTTAACTTCCATCCCAATCATGGCACCACCTGCCTGGAGTTTGCATGTTCTCCCTGTGCCTGCGTGGGTTTCCTCCGGGTACTCCGGTTTCCTCCCACACTGCAAAGACATGCTGGCAGGTGAATTGCCTCCTGTCTAAATTGGCCCTAGTATGTGTATGTATGAATGTGAGTTAAGGACCTTAGATTGTATGCCCCTTGAGGGTTAGGGACCGATGTGAATGTAATATATGTATATTACAATCGTTCTATTAGAGCAGCCATCAATTTACAGAGCAGCCGTCAATTTACGCAGCGCTTTACATATATATATGTAAATTGACAGTAAATTGACAGTTGCTCTGATAAAAGATTGTGCTCTTGGTTGTTTCAAGAAGCACAATACAACAATACCTGAACAAACATTAGCTGCATGGTCGAGTTGCCAGAAAGAAGTCTTTACTGCGCCAATGCCACAAAAAAATGGAACTACAATTTAAGCTTCACAGTATTGTACAATGCAATAAAGTCTGATTGGCCTACAGTGCTGTTTCTCCTCTTCTACTCTAAATGCTGATATACAATGGATTACAGGGAGCTGATACAAAGACAGAATGAGATACTATATGATATTAAAAAGAATAAGTTCACCGTTTGTGACATACTACATGATACACCCATATTCAGGGTCTAAAATGGATCTTCTCTCCCCCCCCCCCCCCAGAGTAACTGTCATAATTTAAAAAAACTGCTCCACCTGCCCAGCCACGTCATTCATTTACAGAGTTCTGTGAATGGGAAACTACACGTCGTCCCAACAGCCCATGCGTCTGTTGGCTTGTATTTCTCAATGAACTACCACAGCACTGTTAAGCGCTGTGGTAGTTTATTGATTCTTCCTGTCAGTGTAAAACTGCCTGATAAGAGCAGACAAATAACACTGACAGTCTGCAGGAGAGCTGCATGGCACCAGTGATCTGCTTTCAAGGCTCCTAAAACAAAAAATAGTAAATGCACATTTACTTGCAAAAAAATGCATTTATTATTTTTTGCTAAAAGGTGAACTTATCCTTTAATGTATCTATTTGTAATAAATTGAACTTTTTATATAATGCTTAAAATAATACTTTCAATTTACATTTTAAATTGGGATGTATACTAATATTAGTTATGGTTATTGAATATGTGTGTTTTATATAAAAAAAAATAATTTCTCTCTCTCTTCAACACAAATTATTGTCATTTATTTAGAATTTTTGCAGAAAGTTTAATTGAAGTAATAGTAGCATTTTCCAAAACATTTATCAATCTTACCTTCCATTATAGTCATTGGATCCTCCACTTTGGGACGCAGGATGTTTGGCCCAAAGACAGTAGCCAAGTTCTGAACACTCATTTTATTCACTCCAGAATAGGACTGCACTTCGTCTAAGAATCTGTTAATTACAGAAAAAAATATATAAATAGGGCATACCTATAATTTGCTACAGATGAATTGAATAAAATTGGACTTTTGTTCTGGAGATTTCTATTATATGTTTCTTCATTTCAGGATTTTTATGGGGCACATTTTACTCTTTCACTCAAAATTTACAATGGTCACAACAATTACAATTGTCACATGCCATGTATAGTATGTATATTTTTCTAAAGGTATGGAAAATTTCCATCTTAATAGTGACTGTCCAGTCAGATGCAGTCACCATTTGGGTATTCTGACAGCCACGTGTGCTGGCAGGGGATATTTCTCCATCTATGCTGTTAAGCATTGATGGGGGAATCTGTTATGTTTGTATTGCTAACCTAACACTTGGCATAGATAAAATAGGAAATGAAGGATTGCAATACAGAAACTGTACAGTGTTTATCACAATGAACCATGTAAAATATTTTACACAAAGGTCTTGGGAGGCAGTTTGCATTTTTTGCTGTCAGCATGGTCTTACAGCAAGGAAGCAAACTCTACGCCTTTTGTGCTGGGAGCCTTATGTTGAAATGACAGGGCACTGAGGTCCCAGTGTTTTGTACTAATGCTTGACCTTACAATAGAACTTACTTGTTTGCGAAAATATTATAACCTTTGTATGTAGGAACCACACAACTGTAGCAGGGATAACTGCTTCTAGACCGCCCTATAACAGAGATACTGCTACAGGGCGGCATGGGTGCGCAAAATCACGTATATATACGTGATTTTGCATTTACGGGTAGGTGGCGTGCACGAGGCTGCCGCGGCTATCACTCACCCAGCCGGTGATTACTCATCGGCACACGGTGATTGCTGAGGATCTCCGACAGGGAGGAGAACTGTTTGTAAACAAAACAGTTCACCTCCCTGTCGGCTCGTGCACACTGCTTTGCATGGCATTTGCAGACAATCACAGACTTCATCAGGGTGGCTGAGGGCCCGACGTCCTCTAGTGGGCCCTGTGCTCACTGCCCAGCACCAAAGAGCATGATTGGCATTTGCCATTAAACACTACAATTGGCAGGTCCACCACTGGTGCCCTGTGTTTTCCCAGATGAGAGCAGGTTCACAGACGTGAAAGGGTCTGGAGAAGCTGTGGAGAATGTTATGCTGCCTGTAACATCATTCTGCATGACCGTTTTGGTGGTGGGTCAGTGATGGTCTGGGGAGGCATATCCATGGAGGGACACACAGACACTAGACAATGGCACCCTGACTGCCATTAGGTATAGGGGTGAAATCCTTGGACCCATTGTCAGACCATATGCTGGTGCAGTGGGTCCTGGGTTCCTCCTGGTGCACGACAATGGCCAGCCTCATGTATGCAGGCAGTTCCTGGAGGAAGAAGAAATCAACACCACTGAATGGCAGCCACGTTCACCTGACCTAAATCCAATGGAACACCTCTGGGATATCATGTTTTGGTCCATCCGATGCCGCCAGGTTGTACCTCAGACTGTCCAGGAGCTCAGTGATGCCCAGGGCCATATCTGGGAGGAAATACCCCAGGAGACCATCCATTGTCTCATTAGGAGCATTGTCAGGCATGCATGCAAGCATGTGGGGGGCATACAAACTACTGAGTAGCATTTTTAGTTGCTGCAATGAAATTTCAGCAAAATGGACTAGGCCTGCTGCATCATTTTTTCACTTTGAATTTCGGGGTGTCTTTGAATTCAGTCCTCTGTAGGTTGATAATTTTCATTTCCATCAAATGATTGGAACAGCCTTATGTTCTTAGCACATTACCCAGTCCATATCACTATAAATAACCAGCATGATATTTTTCCCCATTGAGACCTGATGTGTTTTCAAAGTGTTCCTTTATTTTTTTGAGCAGTGTAGATCACCCAGAGGGTAATGTTTTTTTTCTCAAGAAAAGTGGCATTACTCTTTAGGTTTACACATTAAAAAACTGATGTTTTATATTTTTTTTACTATTTACATGAAATCTTTATGCAAATGAACATTTATTACCTATTGAAATTAAACAAAAATCTTGGGCTAAGGCTTCTCTGCTCTGGAGAAGCCTTGTATTTTTATTAAGGAATGCAAGGCTTCCTCTGACCGAGGTGGAAACTGCAACGTCATCTGGCCCGCCTCTCTGCCTCAGCCAGTCAGAAGAAACCTTGTATTCACTGATAAAAATATGAAGCTTTTCCAGAATGGCAGAAAGCACTTAGCCTGAGTCTTTATTTCCTACAAAGACGGGGAGTAGCTGTTGGAACACAGCATCAATGCTACTACAGTATATTATAGACACACATAGAGGCCACATCATTTAGTAATGGAAATATAATTAATGACATGAAACCTGAAATTCTACTTTAAGACCAACTAAGAAAACTCAAAAAGCAACCAATATATTGACCAATATCACCCTACCCTTGAGCATCTTACCTACAGATGTATTTCAATAGATTGTAATTAACTGGTGGGAGACTCTTCACTTGTTTCACTAGTTCTGCCATCCCCTGTGGAATATAATAATAAAAATTATTATTATTACATTATTCTATTGTAAATACGCAGTAACGTATAAAACTGTACATATTCATTAGCAGTGACAAATGAAGATAACAATTCTAGAGTCAATGCTTTTCTAATATGGAAACTTGCTCATAATCTCAGAATCAATGCTTCATGGGAACTGCAGCCGCAACCTATAATTACATCGAAATGCCTTTTACTTATATAAATGGTTTCATTTTCTGAAACTGCTTATCATATATAAGGGAAGCTTACAGTATTCAGTAGACTGAAACATTGCAAATAGTTTGTTTAGTTTTTACATTTGAAACTATTGTAATATTATCTACAATTCCATCTCTGTTGAGCCAATAGTTCTGGACAGACCATTTTTTAATGGCTGCACCTAGAGAGAAATTTGTATCACAACATGACATTAAAGAAGCATTCTTTGATAGGCAAAAAAAAAAAATATCAACCATTAGTACACCCCCTACACAGAACAATAAACAGTTATAACATTTAGAAAATCCTTACCATTTAGGAGAAAAGTCTAATTGAATTTTCACGACCTCATCTCTGTAATTCAAAAGATAACAGCATCTGCTCTGCCAAGGAGGGGGTGTAACAGCAAGGATTACATCATATCCTCTCCTCTCTCTCTGCAGTAAAAGGAAACTACAGTTCCCATCAACCACAGGGAATTAGGCCTGTACATGTTGAATGTGCTTGAGAGTCCTGGTCTGCCCACCACTGCCAGTGGGGATGAATTACATTGCTACTTCCTGAAGAAAAAAACTACAGAAGGGATGTGCCAAGACTAGTGGCTGGCGGAATAGGAGGCATAGCAGCCAGTAGTTTTAGAAACAGGAAACCATAGAGAATTAATGGTTTGATTTGAAAATGAATAGGCTATTTCAAAGCAACTATTGAATGAACCAGAAGATGGATAACATATTCAGTGAAGGTAGGAAATCAGCAACTAGGACATGTAAAGACATTTTTGCCAAGAGTTCTGTGGAGTGCCGTGGTAGTTTATTGAGTCTTCCTGTCAGTAAGTATCTGCTTGCCCTTATGAGGTGTGTGGGCACACAGATAAACTGATAGGTCTGCAGGAGACCTGCATGGTACCAGTGATCTGCTGATCTCTGGTGCAATGCTTTACAGGCTCCAGAAACAAAAAATAATAAATGCACATGTTTCTACCTGCAAAAAAATGTGCATTCATTTTAAGACAACATCATTATTTTTTGTTAAAGGGTGAACTTATCCTTTAAAGAGGCTATCTTATGTCAAAATTGCATGGCAAATACAGTGTAAATCAGTACATCTGGAGCAACAGAAGTTACATTTAAACCTTAATTGTACCTGTAACTTGTTCCCTGCCCTCTTCCTATCTTCAGAGCTTTTCTATTTATGAGTAGCTTTCCCATCTCATTAAAGTGCCAGTAGAGATGTGAGAAGGGTGGGTAAAATCATTGATGCTTATAATGTCAAACTGATGGAATAATACATTTGGGGGTTCCATACATCATGCCAATCAAGGAGCACACAACATGGCCGGCTGACAAAGCTGCTGCTGGTTGCAAAGCAGTAGCGTTACATTGTAAACCTGAAACTGGAAGTGCTATTACGGGCAGGTAAGAAACATCCCAAACATATTCACAAAAATGATTTGCTTAAAAATATTGCATAACGTGAGGCAAACATAATAACAAAATTTATTTTTGCTTTTAATTATACTTTAAGTGGTGCAGTTACAGTATCCATTGACCAGTCCTGGTTCTTACTGTTATATGGTTGTAATATAATAGTCAAGTTTTTAAGGGAAGGGATGCCGACGGGGTTAATAATAAATTTGCAAATCTGTTTTGGAGGACAACATTTTTAATGGTGTTTATTGACCTTGGTAAAATATTTCAGCTTCATCATAAAAAGTATTTTGAGCAAAAGGGACACAGTTTCTAAGCAACAATTTCCAAAAAGCAGATTTTTTTTTTATCATGAGCTTTTAAGCGGTTCCTGATCCTGCAAAATATTATGAAAAAAAGGGATATGCAAATACAGCAGATATTAGTAACAAGCCACGGGGGAATCTTCTCAGGTTCGATTCACCAAGGGTTTGGTGAATCTTGTTGGAAATTTGGCAAACCCAAACATAGAGAAGAATCTAACTGAATCTGGTAGCTAAATTCTGGCCATTTTTAGTGCTAATATGTAAACTACTGTGAAAGAGGGCTCACAAAGCTTGGCACTACTATGTGGGATATTTACCAATGCAAAGAACATACAATGGGGAGAGGGCCTTGTTATGCAGCTTTCATGATGCAAAACTGTCCTGCCACTGACCATTTTCTCTCCTGCTGTTTCTATCAAGCTCTCAGTTTGAATTATAAGGCCACTAGAGTAAAAGCAGGTGTCTTCCTATATAAATTAGGAGACTCCAGATGACACACCAGTGTAAAAGTGGCCAGCAAAACAATTTTAAATAGCAAGACTAGGCCTAAACTGACTAGAGATCAAGAGCACGAGCTTGTGACTACAAGATAAGGGATACTGCATAGGATTCAGCAGTGTAAACTTTGCAAGCACCAGGAAAGTTTTAACTAGGGATAACGTGCCTAACTGGCGTATGCCTAACTTTTATTTAATCTATGAGGATAGGGGGTTGCAGTGAATGTGAAGTGGTTTAGGTGCACACTGTTCTTGCGCTTTTTTCTTCCATATGATGCAGCAATATGCTGCAACCAAGAGGCAGTATTCAAATGCAGATGGTCAATAACAAGTGAATGTTCTGCTTTGAGCACCCCAAACCTAAAAAATTTCTATCAACATAAATTAAAACAAACAAAACAAATGAAAACCCCAAAATAGCACCCATGAAACTATTTTTAAAAGAAACTCTTGCAGTGAAAAAAATGTGTTTTGGATGGGACAACATCTAATAGTGACCTGTTTTTAAATCAACCATAAAATAAAGTTAAAGACAAACAAGCCCACAATAAAGAGCAAAAGGTTGATTGTCCAAAGAGCTATTAATACCAATTAACACCTTAATCATCAATTAGTGTGTTATTTTATCTCCTAGTTTTTATCATTATGTTAGCAATGCATATGTCCATATACTACTAAAGTTAAAAAAAATATATGAAATGAATAATTGAAATTTAAAGTAATATTGACACCTTCCCGCTCGGCCTATAGCAGATTGATGGCCGGGCAGGACACTCGCTGTTGTGACTGGGCGTCATATGACGTCCTGTCAAAACGAGCTGCTCAAAAGTTTCAGGTGTTTTTTGTTTTATTTAGCAAAAAATAAAAAACTCAGTGGTGATTAAATACCACCAAAAGAAAGCTCTATTTGTGTGGAAAAAATGATAAAGATTTCATATGGGTACAGTGTTGCATGACCGCGCAATTGTCATTTATAGTGTGAAAGCTGAAAATTGGCCTGGACAGGAAGGGGGTATAAGTGCCCGGTATTGAAGTGGTTAATGTACAGTTTTATAATTGACCCTTGTCTCTCCCTATTGAGCTTGTCAGTTATTTCTATTCTTTCCCTACAACAGCTTCCAATTCACTGACACTGACTGCTCTGTGGCCCCCCTGTTTATAGTAAGGGGGCACACAACCAAAAAACCCCTTGGGTTTTCTAAGCCTGCTGGGTCTTCTAAGCTTGCTGGCCATTGATCAAAGACCATGCAGTCCTTTATGGTATAAAAATTCTTCCTGGAGAATCTGCACATACATTTGCTGGGACCGTGAATCTTAAACCTGCAGGATTCGTCTCTTGCCGATGGTAGTGGGGAACCCAAACTTCATCCCTTTTTGATTCATCTACATCATGTTACTGACAGTGAAGTGACCAGAAGAACATGAGTGTTTCTCCTGGGGAAGATACACAAGAAAATATGTATTAGTAGCTCAGCGAATATGTAATGTTTGGCTTTTACTTACAGATTCCTCCTCTTTGCTCAGCTGTTTCGCACATGAGAGAAAATCCTCATACTTTGAATATGGGATGACAGGCTCTGGCAGCTCCCGCAGGTACAGCTTCAGAAGTGAGGCTACGGTGTGGACATCTGTGTTACTGTAGATAACAGAAAAAGCAGGTTATGGCTAATGTTTACAAAGCTGGACGACGCATGCATCAGTCTGCAAGCTGGTAACCTGCCCTCCGGGCAGGCTCTGCTACGTTTTATGATATTATTTATTTATCACTGCAAATAAGCCTCACTTTTCATGTTCCCCTTTGTCTGCATTTGTATTCAAGTCATAAGAAATAAACTGGTATATCAGTCACTTCTCTAAAGCGAGTCCCTACTGACAGATGCTCGGTGTGAAATCTCAGCAGCCTTCATATCATTAAAAAGGCAAAAATGCTCAGGAATATGTGAGAGGATGGGTTTGTATCATGCTGTTATTTACTGGACTGATTTCAATTGGTAAGAAAACAAGAAAACATAAAATTGCTACAGCTCTGATTCACAGTCAGTGTGGTTGCCATTGCTCTAGCCCTTTTGGGCTGCTACATAAAGTGTAAGTTATATAAAGTTTTAATATAAAAGAAAAAAAAAGCAAGCACTGCAAGGCATTTTAATAATACATCACAATGCACACCAATGCATAACAGGTGCCCACTGGTGTGAATGACCCATTCCTGCTCATCGCCCTCCTTTAATTTATCTAAAATAACCACATTTTTAAAGGCAAGTGGTCAAGAAAAGGAACATGGAGCTGCTGTTTTATTGAACTCAAGGTATGACAATGCTATTTATCTGGCTGTTCTTTCCAAGGCCCTCTGGCTTTAAACTTTGAGTCAATTAGGCATATTGGTATCGTTGATTGGCATACTTATTTCAAGTTGGAGACTCAAAGGGGGATATTTACTAAAGCTGGTTCACACAGAATCTGGTGTAGCTGTGCATGGTAGCCAATCAGCTTCTAACCTCTGCTTGTTCAATTAAGCTTTAGCAATAAGGCTCCGTTCACATCAAATCCGATTTTAAAATCGTGCGACTAAGCCCCGGTTCACATATATTTGGCCGTGCGGCCAACGTTTTGCACGGGCACGAGAGCCCATTCATTTGAATTAACTTCCGTGTCCCGTGACACGCAGGGAAGAAGTCCCTGTACTTCTGAAAACGCAGCCCGCACAGGAACCTTGGTTCCCAGTATGGTGGCGTTTTCCAGTGCGGGCGGCGTGCCATTACAACTAATGGCACCCGCCCACGAGTCCGCATTCCTCTCTGCAGATCCACAGCCACACCACCCGCACATATGTGAACCTAGCCTTACAGTGAAGTTGCACGATTTCAAAAATCGGGTGAGAGAACGATTTCTTTTAAACCCTAACCTGTAAATATATATATATAAATACCCCATATACCTCATCAAGGAGCCCTCTGAAATGTGAATACCAATTAAAGGTGGTGTATAAACAAACAAGTGCAATACAAATTAATGCCTGCTTCACAGCCGTAATAGAGTTATAAAATAAATGTACTTATAAACCCCAAAAGGTGTTCCAAAGGAATATATATATATATATATATATATATATATATATACATACATACACACACATATACATATATACACACACGCACATACATACAATGCTTAAGGGAACACTTTGAAAACACATCAGATCTCAATGGGGAAAAATCTCATGCTGGATCTCTATACTAATATGGACTGGGTAATGTGTTAGGAATGTAAGGATGCCCCATCATTTGATTGAATTCAAAGACACCCTGGAAATCAAATGAAAAAATTATGCAGCAGGCTAGTCCATTTTGGTGAAATTTCATTGCAGCAACTCAAAAATGGCACTCAGTAGTTTGTATGGCCCCCATGTGCTTGTATGCATGCCTGACAATGTCAGGGCATGCTCCTAATGAGATGGAGGATGGTGTCCTGGGGTATTTCCTCCCAGATCTGGACCAGGACATCACTGAGCTCCTGGACGGTCTGAGGTGCAACCTGGCGGTGTCAGATGGACCGAAACATGATATCCCAGAGGTTTTCTATTGGATTTAGGTCAGGTGAGCGCGGGGGCCATTCAATGGTATCATTCCTTCATCCTCCAGGTACTGCCTGCATACTCTCGCCACACGAGGCCGGGCATTGTCGTGCACCAGGAGGAACCCAGGATCAGCATAGGTTCTGCAAATGGGTTCAAGGATTTTATCCCAATACCTAATGGCAGTCCGGGTGCCATTGTCTAGCCTGTAGAGGTCTGTGTGCCCCTCCACCTGTAAAACCATTCCTGTTTTGGGGGTTGTCTCATTGTTGCACATCTAGTACACCTGTTCATTTCATTAAAAACAAAGCAGCTGAAACTGATTAACAACCCCCTCTGCTACTTAACTGACCAGATCAATATCCCAGGAGTTTAATTGATTTGATGCTATACTCTGATTAAAAAGTGTTCCTTTAATTTTTTGGAACAGTGTATATGTATATGTATATCACAAACTATTAGTAATATCTGCAAAAGTAACTAGACACAAATATGTATATGAATGTGCATCACTAACCACCTAGATACCAAACATAACTGTGAACATCTTAATCAATACAGTGCAAACAAGCTAACATAAAGACAATAGAGAGAAGGTAGACTTACTAAACCTGGAGCAAACAGAATCTGGAACAACTGCATAGTAACCAATCAGATTCTAGCTTTAACTTGTTCGGTTAAGATTTGTAAGCTGGCATAGTTCGAGTCTGGGTAAACTAAGGTGGACTTTTATCACCAAAGTGCAGAAAATATAACATTTCATTTATTTTACTTTAATGACATAGTAATAAGGGATTTTATTGGATTTGAAAAGGTAATAAAAAATGCCTCAAATGCCCACTAGATGGCAGAAGTCCACAACACAATTACTAATGAAAGCAAACCTCTGTGTTTTGATAAAAGGAAGGTATTATTTGCCATCAGTGTATCAGAGTAGCCCTACAAGTCATTGTAAATGCTACAAGCATCATTGCACTTCTCTAAGAGAATCCAGGGAATGTCCAAGACACAATATTAATTTTGTATAAAAATTGCTTGTGCCACAGTGTATACACATAAACTATTTTGCAAACCAGTCATGTCACCTTCTTTAAATGATCCTACTAATAGCAATGATAAGAATGTCACTATAATAAGAAAAATAGACTCAATTAGCTCTATAACACATTATTTGCAATAATGATCTGTATTTTCTCCTCTCACTGGTGGCAAGTGCCGAATATAATGGTTATTATGGCAAATTAGGATCATTACAGCTTAGTGAATTGAGACTACTGCAACTAATAATACTCTAATTGACGCACTGGCAAGTGGTAGTTTAGTGACTCAGTCCCTCTTTTATTCACACCTATTTAGTAACAACTTGCAGGATTTTTTTTATTTTGTATTTAGCTACCTAAATACTATATAGTCAGGTCCATAAATATTGGGACATCAACACAATTCTAACATTTTTGGCTCTATACACCACCACAATGGATTTGAAATGAAACAATCAAGATGTGCTTTAACTGCAGACTGTCAGCTTTAATGTGACGGTATTTACATCCAAATCAGGTGAACAGTGTAGGAATTACAACAGTTTGCATATGTGCCTCCCACTTGTTAAGGGACCAAAAGTAATGGGAAAGAATAATAATCATAAATCAAACTTTCACTTTTTAATACTTGGTTGCAAATCCTTTGCAGTCAATTACAGCCTGAAGTCTGGAACGCATAGACATCACCAGACGCTGGGTTTCATCCCTGGTGATGCTCTGCCAGGCCTCTACTGCAACTGTCTTCAGTTCCTGCTTGTTCTTGGGACATTTTCCCTTCAGTTTTGTCTTCAGCAAGTGAAATGCATGCTCAATCGGATTCAGGTCAGGTGATTGACTTGGCCATTGCATAACACTCCACTTCTTTCCCTTAAAAACTCTTTGATTGCTTTTGCACTGTATATGAAGAAACAAAAATAGGGCGCACGGGCCTAGTGCATTACCAGTAAAATACTCACAAAGGAATAAAATCAAAGGAAGGGCATGTCACAAGAAATGCAGCTTGGTCCACTCACCCTGAAGGATGTCTGGTGGGGGACTGTAGACCTCTAGGTGGCTGTTTGCTGACGAGTTTCGAGGCTATGCCTCTTCCTCAGAGTCAGACATCCTTCAGGATGATTGGACCACGCTGCATTTCTTGTGACATGCCCTTCATTTGATTTTATTCCTTTGTGAGTATTTTACTTTTTATCAATAAATCTAGTTTTTAAAATGGTAATGCACTAGGCCCGTGCGCCCTATTTTTGTTTCTTCATATACAGTTCTTTTTGGATTTCCCTGGTCCGTTGAGGGCAGCAAAGCTTGCATTCCTTCTATACTCCATGTGGGGATGCAGACATTGTGGAGTCCACTGTCCAGCGCAGAAGTTCAGGCATTCAGTTTCTTTTTTTCTTCCTATCAAAGATAAAATATGGCTGATTGCCTGTAGTCTCTCTAGATATATCTACCTCTTTTAAAATGACAGTCTCCCAGCTATGCCATATTATTACTGTATCAGAGACAACACCCAGCCGGGAAGACCATCGGAGCACTTTAGAGATATACGCCCTAAGACCAGCTTTATTATATATAGTAGACAAAGCTATGTGTGTTCAGGGGCCAGTACCCACTCCTGTACTCCTCTCAAATTTTGACATGTGCCTGTGTCCATGTACCCGCTGCATCTGCATCCACTTCCATAGAACAAAAACAAAAATGCCTCAATCACATAGTACAAGGGTGCCAGCGCTCATGTGAATGAGGCCTATAGAGTAAAAGGGTTGCAGGTGGGGGACCCTGATATGTTATATTCTTCCCAGTCAGGGGTGGACTGACAACTCATGGGGCCCCCGGGCAACAGGGGATCATGGGGCCCCTGTGTCCTTGCCCAAACTCAAAAAAGCCTATGAAAAAGGTACCAGGGGCATCTCATGGGGACCCCTACTGACCCCGGCCCTCAGGCAGTGCCCGAATTTCCAAATGGTCAGTCCGCCCCTGTTCCCAGTCATTCTGGTCATGTCTATAGTCTGTCCCAGATTTGATTAATCT